ACTGTTCTTGGACTGTGTTCAGTATGCCTTTTATTATTGATGTTATCCATTGTCTTTCTGTCAGCCACTATTTATGATTGCAAGAAAATACACATTGGATTAATAACAAATAATTCTAAGTTTTTTCCAGCCATTGCCCAAGACAGCTAAAATGTTTGGAAAGAATCCTCTGTTAAAAAAAAAATAAAATAAGATTGCACGTTCTGCTCATTGAGCAGTCAAAAGATTGCTCATTCTAGAAATGACAATCAGATTTATGTAATCTGCCTTACATTGTCTACATTGGTGTCTTTTGAATGTTAATCACAAACGCCAAATCTTTTCTGGCCTTGTCATCCTACACTGGTGCAATGTCACTTTGGTCTTATGGAATGGTCATCACAGTCAGTCCAAGTTAGCTCTTGCTGTAGTGATAAGGAATGTTGGACGATCTATTGTCATCTTTTGCTGACTGTGTCATTCTGCCGCCTGGACATTTCCGTCCATCTCATTGAAGATTCACAGTGTTATCCCAGTCATAAAGGATCACAGCATCTTGGCATCTTACTGTCGTATTTGATTCAGGTTATGAATGCTTTACTTATTTTCAATCACTGTTTGTGCAGATTTTTTTTTATTTTTATTTGTGTTTTGCAAAGCTGTCAAGGGCATGAGTAGGATTTTGAGTTTTTAACTCTTGATACTAAACTTTTTGAAAGTTTTTTTTTTTCTTCTAAAAAAATAAACTCTAGGCTTTGGTTGGACCAATTTAATTAAAGCACTGGAAGCTTTAAGAATGTTGGTTCATTTACACATCACAAGAAAAAAAGTTCAATTACTCTATAAAGAATGTTCACTCTTAAGGCAGCTTTGCTTTTTTAAATTTATTGATTCATTTATATACTGGCTTTATTATTTCTACCAATAACTCATGGTGGCTAACATGTCCGATGCACCTTCCTCTTCGTATTTTCCCCAAAACAACAATCCTGTGAGGTAGGTTGGGCTGAGAGAGAAGAACTGGCCCAAAGTCACCCAGTGGGCTTTCATGGCTAAGGTGGGACTAGAATTCACTGTCTCCTGGTGATCGGCCAAAAGTGGCCTGGCTGGCTTCCATGGCTAAGGCAGGACTAAAACGCACTATTTTCTACTTTCTACCCTTATGACTTAACCACTATATCAATCTGGCTCTATAAATATCTGGCTGCTATTAGAAGTTCTCTTAATTATACCTTCAAAAGAGGTGCTAAATGCAACAGAATGGTTGCCTCCCCACCCCACACATCAGACATGGACAATCCCTATCCAAAATCAGCTGTAAGCATCCACTGAAATTGGAGAATTTCTGAACATTAGTCTTTTCATTTTATTTGAATTAAGGTACACCTATCTTCTGTTCTCAGTTCCAATTCTTTTTTTGACACTTGTTCAGGAATTTGATGGTCTCCATTAGACAAAAAGGTTTTTTTTAAAAGGAGGGGGGGCTTCTCTTTAGTGCAAATTTCCACGTGATTTCTTTTTAAATTCCCAATTTCACAGAGATTTTGAAAAGCATAGAGAAGGAATGGAACCCAAGTCATAATGTAGAAGTAAAATCCTGTAGTCCATTGAAAAACACCAAGGTCCATTATGAATAATCAGTACCTCTCCAGATATGAGATTTTTTCTACCATGTCTTTTAATATATCCATCATAACAGCAAACATCATTAAAATAAGGCTTTTTTCAGTATATCTACTGAAGAAAGTCTATTCTTTAAACCATCATTTCCTTTTCATAAAGTATCCTAGGAATTCTACTTTACTCTGCTAAGGTGGTATAACTGTAGATTCTGAGTAATTTTGTTAAATTAAAATGATCAATATACTATGAGTAGACTGGGTAATGTTTCCAAACATATATATTATAGACATTCATTTTGTTAAATTATCTATGTTTCCATATGACAAGGAAATGCTCCATTAATTGTATAGCGGTAGATTAGTAATTGAAGCTAACAAAATCTCAATCTAATCTTGTTTATTTCTGAAATATTCCCTCAAAAAATATACTACAGTCAATATTACAAAATAAAAGATGTAGCTGACGTGCAGTAGAAATATTTATGGGTCCTATTTTTTCCCCTGGGAAACATTGTCCCAGTTGTGACTTAAACACATATTTAACAACTTCCCGGCTTGTTTGATTGTCGAATCTAACATTTTGCAATTGAAGAAGCATAAAATCATTATAGTTTCATGTAGGAAAATATAAGATATGTTTGGATAGTGGGCAAAGCTGGTGGATTTAATTAGAAGTAAGCTACTTTTGACAACTCTGTGTTGGCAGGATAATAAAATGATCCAAACTATAATTAAGGGTTTGTGTTAGAGAGCAGCATTTGAACATTTCACACTTAGAGTGTTGTTGATGGTTAAGGCAGAACAGATTCACTGTAGCTGTAGACGAATAGAGAGCTAAATTGCAAATGGGAATGAAATCCAATTGTTCCAGAGGCAGCTGATGTCATTCCCCCCCCCCCCCGCTTATGAAGCGATTGAGATAGCATACACCTTGCTGGATTAACAATTTTTACTATGCACAAAATAATGGCATGGTGAAGTCTGCCTTTCAAATTCTCAAAATAATAATAATAATCCCTACCAGTCAATTGCAAAAGGCAGCTTTACTTAGAAAAGCTTACTGTACATTCTGCAACAATACCTTTACTATGATCAGTCGACAACATCTGCCTATCCCAGGTCCTTGGAAAGCACTCGAGAGGTGGATAAAAATGCCAGATCCAGTTTAAACATCTGTCTGACTGCGCAAACAACCATAATAATCGCAATTTCCCTGTGAAAATTTCTTCTCTTTTTCCATCTTATTTTCATGGTATTGGGTTTATTTTTGGACATCTCTTGGAGATATTAATTTAGCTTATTTTATTGTGAAACGAACTGTATTTTCCACTACCATCAACTACCCTGTTATACAACTTTCTGTCTTCCTGGAAGCTCTGTATATGCTTGCATGAACCAAGCTGAAAAAAAAATGTTTATTTCTCTTGGAAAGAAATTGTAAAGGAAAACCAAGAGAATAAAAAAACCAAAATTTGAAATGAAGTTATGAACCAAACACTGCAATTTAAAGGATGGAAACAATGGAGGTATTATAAATTACTAGCACTTGGAAGTTAAAGGCAAGGAGATTGTTAATAAAAAGGAGAAACAGGTAATCCTAATCTGAGTTAGCAGCATTACGAAATCTACAAGTAGATGAAATATGCAACTTTATGGATGGCCATTCAAAATTTTAAAATCCCAAGTCCTTCCCAACTTTATTATGAAGAAATTTCTAAAATCTTATTAGTTCTGATTTTAAAAAATGAACTGAACAAATTTTCCAGCCATCTCTGTACATCATATTCCCTTTACCCCCACTCTGATTGCATGTCAGCGTAACACAGATTTAATTATTAAGATGTCATAACAAGCTTAAGAGGCCATCAGAATATTAAAAACTGTCTTCTTAAAATATTTGGAGTGAATCCTGATTTAGCTATGGTTAGAGCTAACTCACTGAAATTATTGGGATAAGAAAATGGTTACCAGCTTTAAACCATGTTGATTTGATTGGTTGTGTGCAAAACATGACTGAACCTGGATTCTACCATGTCTTCAATAGCCAACTTCTTCTGGAATTGCAAACCAGGTTAGAATGTGATGAGTCCTTACTGTTATTTGTCTTCTATGACTGTATGTTGGCTTTTGTAGAACTACTCCAGTTAGCAGTCCTTTTGAAAGCTTTCTCATCTGTGTATCTACCAGTTCAGTAATATTTTTATCAGGATGTGACTCTGACAATAATGGTGCAACATATATCCAACTACTCTTTCTTATCACTTAGAATGAATGTGTGTCTTGACTCTCATCACTCGATTTGCACACTGGATTCAACTTTTTGGCACAGCTCACGTAGTTTGTATCTTCCCATCTGTTTTCTATCTCTAAACTGCCAGGATAGTAAATCTTACTGGAGGTTTCGGGGCTGAGGTCATTCTGTAGAAAAGTACAACCCATGAGGTAGGTTGATCTAAGAATGACTGCCCAAAACTTATCTAAAGTTCTGTGACTGATGGTGGCCTTGAACTTGGGAGTTCTCAATGCAAGTCCAGCTTCTTAACTAGTACACCACATTAACTCTTACTGAAACTATCAAATCCCTGAATTTGCTCTGGAACATCAGTCTATTCGGAATGGATGAATCAATGAAAATGCATTATAAAAGACATGTTTAAATCTTTGCGTGCACCTTAGTTGAACCCCCTTCTTGATAATGCATTCACCTTCTTCATGATTGGCACAGAGGGGGACATTGCAACTTGTGCACCAGAAGAGGAAGTCTCGAGCAAAACATATCTTGGTTGAGGGGCTGTCACACTGATGGAACTTTGTAACTTTAAGGAGCACCAATAACTTATTTATTTTACTTCTTTAAATTTATTAGAGCCGCCCAACACGGATGGAGTCCTTTCAGGATAACCAGAAGCTGCTGCTGTCATTACTGCAAAAAGGAGAAGCTTTCTCAAAATGATAAATGATGTTTAGCAAACCCAGGTTACTGTATGAGAGCCCCAGCAGCTGCTCTAGACTGCCAGCTGCTAAAGCAAGCCTCCTCGGAAGAACAACAGGACCAAAAAGCTACAAGAATTGGTTGTTCGCTCCCTTCAGTGGTCAAAAGCTGTGTGATGTCTATTCCTGGGCTGTCCCTATCAATTTCATTTTTTTTTTAATTTTTGCTTTGCACACGCAGCTCGAGCCAATTCCAAGGTGGGACACCAAGTTTGGTTATAGGTTTAAGCCAATGAAGGTGCTCAAAGGTTTCACTGCAATGTATAGAATTTCAAGTTAGATTTTAACTTTTAAAAAGGCTATTATGATTTTATCGCACCCTCACAGGGGATGATTAATGCAGACCACCAGAGGCCAAACGCATGCTATCATTGCTAACATGTATTTTAATTATGTCTCCTTCTTCAGGTTTTGTAATTTTGGACTTAAAAAGCAACATTCCGCACCAGAGTGCAGCCCTCGTAAAATACGACTGACGTGTTATCATATAAATGAGGTTGCTTTGACATGATAGCGCTTTCATAAATCCAAAGGGAAGATTTGGAGACAAGATATGTCAAAAGTAAAACCAGCTCTGTCTCTTAATCTTTGACATAAACTGTTTATGTTTTCTGAATTCAACAATCATAATGTGATAGGTTGGCTTTGATGATTTGCAGACGAAATGGAGGAGTTCTCCAGCACCCCCCCCCCTCCTCCGAGTTCATTTCAAAGGTATTTATTTTATTTTATTTTTTGCGAAATTAAAGACTGCATGACTTGCCAAGCCCTAATGAGAAACTGAATTAGAGTTTTATATCGGGTTTGCCGAGATGCGATTTTGGAAAGAGAGTATGGCTCAAGACACATTTTTTAATTTTGTTCGAACTATTTGCTATTAGACTTTTTGAATCATTGAATTGTGAAAAGTTGCTTGACTGTCTGATGAGCTGAATTTCATTCTGGTCAAACAGCATTTCCCAAAATCAGTATGAATAAGTTTGTATCTTACATGACACCTAGTTTGGTCTAGTGGTTAAAGCATTGGCCTTAACTCGCAACGTCACGTGACGTGTTGTGATGTATCGTGACTTTTTTGCCATTGCCAGCAATAGGGTGGGCGTGGTTTTGATATGATGCATCCGGCCTGCGGGCCGGCAGTTTGACCCCCTGGTGTAGAAAGCAAAGGATGGTGAGTTTTAGGCATGAAAGCTAACTGGATGATGTTGGGCCAATCACCAGGAGACCTTGAGTTCTAGTCCCACCTGAGGTATGAAAGCTGGGTGACCTGGTGCTCTGTCCAACTCACCTCACAGGGTGGCTATGGGGAAAATAGGAGGAAGGTGCATTGGATATGTTAGGAAGGAAGGAAGGAAGGAAGGAAGGAAGGAAGGAAGGAAGGAAGGAAGGAAGGAAGGAAGGAAGGAAGGAAGGAAGGTGTTTTTTTCTTCTGACATGCTTAATGATCCTGCAGTTCATTTAACAGCTGCAATAATTCTCTTAACAACCATGTCAAAAACCATGTCATGAAAGCAGCCATAACTCACTCAATAACCAGCGAAATTCTGTTGTAATCATAAGTCAAGCACTATCTGTAAAGATATCAGAAATTGTTCTGGCTGGACTTTTTCAGACCCAGCAGTATGGGATGGAAATACACATAATGGTGGAAAACATCAGCACCCTTGGTCACTTGACAGTTATGAAATAATCTCAGACATCATTAAACATGTTCAAGTCAACAAGACACAGAAGCTTCTTTTGCAATGAAAGGAAACATTGTGGAACTTGGAACACACAATTTGGTGCAGTGTTAATTATTATACTTTGCTTTCTTCTTTACAATAGCTGTTAAAAACTATCATTTTTCCCCCCTACATGTTTGCTAGGTAGTTTATTCCTTATCTTCTCTGATTCTCATTTTATTATGACTTTCCCTGTATTGTTAACCTTAAGATGAATTGTTTGTTTTCAAGCTTATGATGTTAGATATATTATGGCAGTTGAGGCAGAAAAGCATACGATACCCACAGATCTCTTGGGGATAACTTAATGATTGATTTGCTCATTGTCTGAGGTTCTTGGTCTTAAAAAGAAAACTCTGTAAGAACATTTAAATTAACATTTAAACCGTCTACCTGGAAGGTTTTTTTTTAATTTTAGCATATTATAGTGATTGGGACAGAAAGTGTTGCAAACCCAAGTATTCAAATGGGTTTCATATGGGGCTGAAATAAAAATAGAAATAGGTCTGATCAGGTAGGGGAGCCTGTAGGGAAGAGTAAGAATAGGAACAAATTCTTGTAAAAAAAGTGGAAGGGAACAAGGCTGTTATCCCATGTTCATAGCTGTCATCTCAACATTGTTTACCCCACTTTCTCTAAGGTAAATCTTGATTTTTGGCCCTCTTGAAGACAGTCCTGAAACCAAAACTATGGAATTCCAACTTGCAGGCTTAATATGATCTACTAAGATGGACCACCTTGTCTTATTCCCATCCTTTACGTACAGAGATGCAAATGAGAACTTTCATGTTAAAAACACAGATGGAATTAATTTGTGAGCCAGGACAGAGGATATCCAACATTTGTATCTGATGGAGAAAAATAATTGTCTGCAAATACTAATATTATATCAGGTTGCCCCCGAGAAAGACCATGAAGAGTGCCATGGATTATAAGGCATTTTCCTCCCAAGGCATTGTCTTCTTTGTATTCAGAAATTCCCATAATAACTTTGCCTTCTTCAGTACCCAAGTTGTCTCCACAACTATTTTAACACTAAAGAGCTAAAGGCCAGAAAAAAGCTTGTTTCACTAAATAAGAGCACATTTCATTGCAAATATTTAATCATAATTATATTAAGAATTTTTTATATATATATATATAAATTTAAGCAATAAAAATTAAACAGGATGCAGCAGGCAAAGGGATGGGGGAAAGGGACAGAAAGGATTAAGTGGAGTCATATACAGAATAGATTCTATTTAATGAAAATTTCCTTGGTGTTCAACGTTTTTATTATACTTAATAGCACTGCACTTCATTTTTTGTCTCTGATAATTGTGTATACTTAATGAATGTCCTCTCTTATTTCCCCATTGAACCATGACAGAAATTAATAAACCCAATTCTGTAGGTTTAAGTTTAATTCTGTTGAAATCTATAAAGTGGCTACATTTTCAGTTAATGGAAAACTGAATGAAATGAGCTTTAGTTTCTAAGCAACTCGAGAGGCAAAATTTATTGGTCTTACTTTGTTTTTCTCTTTGTTCCCTTCTCCTTTAGCAGTTGCTTGGTTTTAACAGTACAGAACAGCACTAACAGACAAATTAGATCATGAAAACCAAAAGAAATTAAATTATCTTTTTTTAAAAAAAAAAAATCCATTAATCACCTAGATTTTTTTTTTCTTACTAGCCTGGCCAGGAATGATTAGTAAAGATAAACATGTTGCTTTATCATTTAATAAAGACAGCAAGTATAGAAGAAAATCAAGACTGACAACTATAAAACAAACTTATCTGAAGCAGTGAATAACACTAAAGCAATGTGCTTAGGGCTGAGTAATTTACTTCTTGTCACATTGCATTGGGTGCTAAATGTAGAAAATTAAATAATGCCATGTTGAATTACTACAGTATATAATTGCTTGAGCTTGTTACAGCAGTGCATTTAAAAGCTGGGAGGCCCAAAGAATCCAAGGGAGAAAATATACAGAAAGATGGAGAAAGGGTCTCTGCTGACCCTCTCAAATTCCCAGTTGTAGGCCCCTTTTTATTTAAAATGGACAAAACATGGACCCATGCATTTGTCAGCAGGATGATAAATTAATCACCTAAAACAATATTTGCCAGGTTCACCTTCTCTGTGCTGTTTCCAACACTTGCAATCATTCCAATGATAGGATGGGAGAGAATTGAACTTCTGAAAGATGGAAGAGTAGAAATGAATAAATAACCTCTTTTTTATTTATTTTATGCTAGCCTGATGGCACCAAAAGGAGACTAAGATTTAGTCCGAAAAAGAGCAAACTGGACAAATGCAGCAACCAGCCTTAGGAGACAGGGAAGATAATGAACTGGTGAGTAGCAGCTGCCTTTTAGAATCACTAATAAGCAGTCAAGATATAAGCCAGCATTTGACAGAGTTGCAATGAAGGCCTTGGACGGGATAGTCAAACACCAGAACCTGTCTAGATCAACGAAGATCAGAATCTATGGAAGAGAAAGCTGGACTTTGAAGAAGCAGGACAGAAAGAGATTTATCAACCCCACAAGATACCAGACCCAAAAATCAACTCCACGGGAAGGCTAGACCTATATTCTCTTGGAACATTAAAGTAACAGGATCTTGTAGACTATACTTTTCCTCCTTTCCTCTTATATTCCAGGGAGCCAACTTGCCTCTCTTCTTAATATTCATAATATTAAGTTACTATTTATCTATCGGCCACCCATCTTACCACAGGATAGCTCTGGGTAGGCTTACGGTATTAAAAAGATAAAGCTATAAGCATAAAATACTACAAAAATATAAAAACAGAAAAATTCTGAATACTTAATATTCATAATAAGTCTATTCCGGATAAGTCTATTTTTGTCCGTACAGGTAGTCCTTGAGTTACAACCATTTGTGTAGCGATCATTCAAAGATACAACAACACTGAAAAAGGTGGTTTACAACCAGTCCTCTCACTTAACCACCTTCACAGTATCCCCATGATCACATGAAAATAATCCAGAGTCTTGGCCACAGGCCTATATTTGTGACAGTTGCAGCGTTCTGGGATCATGTGATCCCTATTTGTAACCTTCCCAGCTGACTTCCAACAAGGAAAGTCAATGGGAGAAGCTAACAACCACATTATTTACTTAACAACTGCAGTGATTTTCTTAACAACCCTTGAACAAAAGATCATAATATTAAGCACGACTCATTTAATAATCGCCTTGCCTAGCAATCCAAATTCAGCTCCCAGTTGTGGTTGTAAGTTGAGGACTGCTTGTAATGGTCTTTGAAAATTTGCTTCAAGGTCATCTATCTGTTTACAAGTCTTGGATGCTTTTGAAATTTGTTACTGGAAAAGATTCTTGAGAACACCATGGGGAGCTAAGAAAACAAATGGATCATCAAAGCAAATCAACCCTTGAGTTCTTACTCAAGGCATAAAGGTCCAGCCTCAAATTATCATACCTCTTATACAATATGTAAAGGGAGAATTAATTAATTAGGTCATTTCTGCATCCCAATCACAGCACGGCAATTTATATCTAATTTTGTCTAAGGATTACTCAAAAGGTAAACTGACTTGAAGGTGTTTTTTTCCCCATCTCCCATGTTGTGGCATAATATTTGCTCAAAGAATGTTAGCTATACTGCAAAATGCTCGGAATTATTTTGGCTTTCAGAAAATCAAAAGCAAAGGGAAGGGAAGCAGACTGGCTTGTTATATTCACTTTTCTTAAATCAACTGCACTTTCTGCAGTTTAATAAATAATCACCATATAATTCATACCTAGAAACTAGGGTATCATTTCCATTAGGAACAAAACTCCCAAGACATTTACAAAATGAAAGCACATGAATACACAAAATATTTACATAGAAGCCAGAAACTGGTAAATTGAGTAAGCAGGTTAACATGTTTTGTGAATGCAGTTAAAAAAGCAGGCAGTGATGGAAATGATAGTACTGTTAGTATTGGAATGTTATGGGCTACTTCAAGAGTTTATGCGGTAATATCCTTTCTTTGTCAATTTTTATAGTATGTTTATAGTTCAGGAGCTGGCCACTGAAATATTAAATTGCTTTGGTATTTATTTTTCTTATAAAATATTTTGTTCCCATACTGGCATAGGACAGTGAAGATGGAAATAGAAATGCAAATGGGAAGGAAGGAAGGGAGGGAGGGAGGGAGGGAGGGAGGGAGGGAGGGAGGGAAGGGAGGAGGAGGAGGAGGAGGAGGAGGAAGAGAGGGAGGGAGGGAGGGAGAACTGACTGTTGGTTTTTCTTGAAACTGATTCAATTTGACACAATGTCCAAGTCCCTTAGATCAGTGGTCCCCAACCTTTGTGGCTTGGTGGCCCAGCTACAGGGGGAGAGAGGAACCGGGCCATGTGAGCGGCAGACTGGTGCGCATGTGCAGTTCAACTCACATGAGCAATGGGCCAGTGTGCATGTGGATGCACATGCAGCTTGACTGCAAGTTGAGGTGCATGCACATGCACGCTGGCCCACCACTTGCACAGGTTGAGCTGCATGCACGCTGGCCTACCTGTCACATGGTCCAGTTCCAAATAGGTGACAGCCTTAGATACAGTGCAAGGGCACAGAAATTTTGTCTGAGGTCAGAGCCTTCCTCAAAGGGTAATTTGGAGCGGCAACCAGAAGGCAGAAAAGAAAGTACATGTATACGTGTGTGTGTGTGTGTGTGTGTGTGTGTGTGTGTGTGTGTGTGTAAGAGAAAAGGTGATAAGCAGAATTCAATTTATCTCAGAAAAAGGACAAACAAAGATAATGAGTAACAGTCCAAAACTTAATAAACTCTCACATCTTTGTGTATGTGTGTCTCTGTGTTTATTTTAATATGTAAAGCAAAATCTGGGTTGAACATTAAAAGTCTTTCTGGAAGAATAGAAGACCTATCAATACCATAAATCAAAATGTGATATTGGATTTAAAAATAGACTCAACGCAATTGTGAGCACAATGCCTAGTTCTCCATGTCTTTCAAGGAAGCTGGAATGGGGGAAAAATGTTTGAAGGCACACCTGCCATCATTCAGTCAAGTTATGAATATGGATACAGGGAGGGAAGCAAGTGTCTAAATATCCCTATTAATTTTAAGGCATGTAAGCAATGTGCAACTTCATGACTTTTAAACAAGGCCCTTTTTGATGCTCATTTGAGTTTGATATGAGATTTAGGGCATGTTATTAACCTTGTCAAGACAGTCGGCATCCTTGAGTGGTGCTTATCTTTAGAGCACATACAAAGTCAGTGTCACAGGTCACAAACCACTTAAATTTATATTTATGCTCCCTAACTTTCTTTCATATTGGTATTATGTAGTCAAGGAAGGAATGGCCTCTCCTACAAGAAGATGGGTATTAAGAGGTGTGCAGCCATTCATAATAGAATTTTCAGTGCAGGGTCAACTGCAATTGATTTATTTTTTAAACATAGGAATGGATAAATCATGAAGGAAACATTCTAGAAACTACAGGAAAGTGACCTCTTGGGAAGAAGCAGGCAGATTCTCACTGGGATTGTTGGTTACTAAGGAAAATTAGCTTTCTAACTGTCAAGCCAAGTGCACTTAACAGGACATTTGCAACAATTTAACTTCATTTGCATCTAAATAAACCTGGTGCTGGTGCTGGTGCAGGAGGAGGAGGAGGAGGAGGAAGAAGAAGAGGAGGAAGAGGAAGAGGTAAAAGATATTTCTTGTTTCTTGAATTCTCTTGTTTTCAACTCCCAAATTTATAATTTCATTGACTGCTGTTATTAGTCAAATAATTCTTGTGCCATTAATCTTGAACAGAAACAAGCTACAATTTGTTTTTGACAGCCTTTCAGAAGAGGACGTTCAAAACAGGATAAAGGCTGAGTAAAGCCTTATTTCCCATTCACACTTTTTTCACATCGATTCCTATCCCTGGATCAACCAGTCTGTCCCCTTGGAGCCACATTAATGCCACCCCTTCTTGAAACACCTAATGCTTCCTTGATCCTCAATTTCACACTACCTCCTACCCATTAATTAACTCATCTACACCCACTTAATGTACTTTTTTAAAATCAATCCATGAGCCTTTCCAGGTGTTCAAAACTCTTGCATTAGAAATGAAGGAAAGAAAGTTGCGTGGTGCTATCTACCCTGTATTTGGTGGTTAGGGGTCTACAGCAGAAAGGTAATTATTATGGATGAGAGAGCTCTACAGCCTCTCCTTCCCTGATCCTAGTCCATCGTTTTATCCTTTATATCACATTGCCTGAGAGTTAAGACTGGCAGCAGTTTCCTATTCAATCCAAACAAAATATTCCCTCCCTTTTTGCAGAATATTTTTTTTCCTTGTGAAACTCTCTGCATCCTATATAATATTGATTTAGTTTGGGGGCAAGTGGAAATTTCTTAGGATTTTTACAAGCTTGCCTATAAAAATAAGAAAGAGAAAGAACGGGGAAGAAACAGAAAGAGAAAAAAAAATAGATGAACACTTATGGGCACCTCGTTTTTTTCAAAATGTCTCCCCTCTGCAAAATATCATTAGCACCTTAAACATTGATCCAGTTTTTCAGAAGGACTTTTATCACTTGGGCCTTTAATCAATCCTCTAAAACTTACAAAACTCACTGAGCAAAATACCTTGTCATGGCATTCATTCCCATGCATCATAAATTCCATGAATGACCACCTCAATCAATCTTGAATGAACAGGATGTATGTACTGGGATGGGCTCAGTTAAAAAGGGTAGAATTTGAAGTGACTTTTAGGTTGGGCCTATGTTGTGGCAGCAACGGTCAGTCCATAAATGCCAGCTAGAAGGGTTAGACTGCAATATTCAGATATGGAAGAGAATACAATTACCGAGAGAATTTACCTTGCATTCTCTTATTAGGAGGGGAAAAAAACAGCAATGAAAGGAAAAGATTTTTTTCTCCCATTCATCTTCAGAACTGCTTCTACATCCTTCATGGCATTGCCAATAGATTGCAGGTGTAGGCTGTAATGAGCTGACAAAAGTAAGTCTGCCAAGAGCGTTATGACATTCTTGTGTGCAGTGGAAATTCATGCTAAAATCTGCTTGTGGGCTGACATCCATGGCTCTGTTTAGCAGTGCCTCTAACTGGTCTTTCAGAGCTATAAACGGCATGTGGTTCCTGCTAAGGCTGTTTTAATTGGTTATTGCAGCGCAGTGTGAGATTCGTATCTCTTCAAAAGCATTAGCTTGCCTCCCTGTGTATAGCTCTGAAAATTCATGCGCTTAAGAATGAAAAGAGGAGTGGGGTGCGATTCCATCAGCCTACAATGGGAGAGTCAAATAGGAAAGTGTCCTGTGAGTTACACTTGTGCTTTATGGAAGACACAAATAATAATAGTGGCAGTAGTGGAAAAAATTATGCAGATACGAAATTCATCTTACACTATCCTGCAGAGGTTGGTCAAGATGTTTCCAATATAAAGGATCCAACTGTAAAACAATTTGAAAAGAAACAAAGAAAGGCTACAAATGCATTGAGAAAAAAAATAATAACTGTAGAAAACTTTGATAAAGGTAGATAAATAATCTTCCCTTCCCTTTGTCCCAAAAATCTAGTTCAAATGTTTGGACACTCCCTACCCCTACTCAATCCATATGTCTTGCTTTTAAATTCTAAAACGTATAAATATGTATTATTTTAAAGTTTAATTTTAAATTAAATTTGAAAAGGTATTTATTAATCCTGGGTGACTAATGATATTCCAGTCGAGTTGAATAATTCTATGAATATCAATTCAAAATAAGCCAACAATAGAACAAGCCCAAATCATGTGAGTTAATATTTGAATTCCAATAACGCAGTCAAAACCAATTCCTATTTTCTCTGGCATGTCCAGGATGCATTTTAAAAATTGTTATCTGCTTCGATCAGGATGGAGGAAACAAATGTTCTGATTTTTGCTGCTATTGCTGGCCTTTGAAGTTGTCCATCATTTTGGAGACAAGAACAAGATTATGGTCAATTATTCTAGAATTTTTCCAGGGAAAAGAAAATATCCCAGCCTCTTGTCAAAGTCAGACATCCCCCTTAGCAGACAGAGCAGCACCATTAATGAAACCAGCCCCTAGAGATAAGGGATCCCTCATGAAGCCTAAAGGCCTTTATAGAATAGTGAGTGACAAGGAAGCTGCAGACCCTGGGTCAGTTGCCCCTAAAATGGAAGACCAAACAGGCATCCACCACACCCCTTCATGAACCACAGAGGTGTAAGAATACGATGCTTTACCTTTAAACATTTCTCCAAAAGAATTCCCTCTGTAAAAAAACATTCTAAAGAAAATTTTGTTCCATCAAATTGAATGTGAACGATGACGGTACTAGTGATGGGGAAACAGTTGAACTTTTCTACTCAGCACTAGTTAAACCAGTCTTTATATATATATTTTATACTACACATTTTTAAAATTTTGCCCTGCATTTTATTGTGGAGCTTAAAGCAACATTCATCTTAGTCTCTGCTCCTATTTTCCCCATAAGAACTACTCTCTGAAGCAAGTGGGCTGAGGGAGAAAAATTGGCCCACGTTGAGTGATGGTGGACTTGAATCTGGGTGTCTGCAGTTCTCACCCAGCACCACCACCACCTCCTCCTCCTCCTCCTCCTCTTCCTCCTCCTCCTCCTCCTCCTCCTTCTCCACTACCAGCAGCAGCAGCAAGCTGGTTTTCTTTGCTCTAGTGCTTTAATACTTCCAATGGAGTCTTCTTCCATTCTCCAGTTCAAAACAGCAATCAACTATCTCACTAGTTTTCAGCAACTGTATAATTAAAGGGTGTGTGTGTATGTGTGTGTTGTAAAACAGGGACTACAAAAATTATTGTATGCAGCTGTGTCCCTGTATAATACTTTGATAAGAATTAGAATATTCTTTATTGGCCAAGTGTAATTGGACACAAGGAATTTGTCTCCAGTGCATAAGCTCACAGTATACATACAAACAACAAAGTAATATAATGATAAGATACCAATAAGAGAAGGTAGTAAGAAAGATGAGAAGGATAATAGTAATGCAGCCTATTACATGGGTAAATATCCTTAGACATAAGACAGCCCTGTGGGAATTAGGTGTTCAGCAGAGTGATGGCACAAGGAAAAAAAAAACTGTCTCTGTGTCTAGTTGTTTTGGCATGCAAATGTCTAATCTATTTAGGAATAATATTACTGAAGGACACCAAAGTGTGTGTTTTAAAAGTGAAACACTTAAAATATGTTTACATTCAGACAAGCAGCCAGAAATCTGGAGGAAAAACTGAACCAAATCTATGAGTTATTCAGAAGAGGCAAGATTTTTTTTTTTTTAAAAAAAGCTAGTTTTCTAAGACACTTCACGCCACTAGCAAGCTTTCTTGTTTTGATAGAAAACTTTTTCAAAAATTGAAACACCTGGGGGAGAAAAACACACAGGTTTCAGCAAGAAGAGTGAAGGTAAAGTTCATGAACCCATGTTAGTTTCGCTCAGTCTGCAAAGAAACCCACAAAGCATTATTGCACAACAAGCCTGTAAAACCTCAGGACTCCTCCGTGTCATAATTTGGGATGCTAGTGCCAGTGTCATATAAGGAGAGACGTGCTTATTCCTCAAGATCCTGAAGATTCCCGACAAGGAGTGCCAACATGAGTGCTTTCGATGGAATTAGCGTTATCTGGAAGAGCCCAGCTGCATTCATTGCCTTCACTAAATAACATCAGTGCCATGTGTAATTGCATTAGATAAATATGATACTTACCTTTATTAGAAATGTAATTGCTGATCTTCAACTAGAAAGATTGGGTAAGAATGTCGTTCTTTTTCTTACATTCCTTTGGAGCAAATAATAAACATTGTGGTACAGCCACCGATTGAAGGCGAGGAGGCCCCAGTTTGGGGGGTGGGGTGTTAAAAGAGTCCATTAGGGCTAGGAGACATTTCAAATCAAACCCTTCCCCAAGGGAAGACAGGCAGTCTGGTGAGATTCTTGTAGACTGGTGATCAACAATAAAGAATCTTATTTGATCCATTCACAGAGTTATTCTGGCTACTTGCATCTAACAGTTACAGATTGCCTAATGCTGGGAAAGATTGAAGGCAATAGAAGAATGGCACAACAGAGAATGAGGGGGCTGGATGGAGTCACTGAAGAAGTAGATGGGAGCTTAAATGGACTCCAGAAGATGGTAGAGGACAGGAAGACCAGGAGGAACATTGTCCATGGGGTCACGATGGGTCGGACACGACTTCGCAACTAACAACAACAACAACAACAAAGGATGGAAAGATCTTAACAAGTCTGAATGCAAGACAATGGAGAGTGATACTTTGATCCTTTCAGAGAAGAAGACTTAAGAGTTTTGCTCTTAAGAGGCTGTCTTTAAAATCCTATATTTCCCTGGATGGCTCAACTGGGATTCAGAAGAAGCATGAAACAGGCTGATCTTCTTTCGTCTTCTTCATGTTAAAGACAGCTCTATGATTTTGGCTCATTAAGAGAGAAATAATTACAATCAATTTAGTTTTGAATGAGCACTTAACAAACTGTTACACATCCATAAATTGATATACATTTTATCATAAAGTGGATAGAAAAGGAGTGAGATTTAAAAAATAGATTTAATAGATTTGTTCATCTTCGGAAGATGTCAAAAATTCAATGGAAACATGGCTTCAGTTTATCCATTGTAAAGCAAAATCTCATAGAAAGGGAGAGGGAAGTCCATTAAATCCCAAAGTCCATCATTTGTGATCAATTACAGGTTTGCATAATGATGCCATAAAAATGTTATATCATTGCCCAAATGACATACTATTTTATCAGGACAGTGATCAGGCAATTGTTTCTTTTGGATCCAAAGACAATAACACACCAGTAAATTAAACTATTCTAAGTTTTCTTATTAACTCAAGGACACAGATTTAAAAGGATAACATAACAAGCACCCATACCAACCAAGAAAATTGGGGTCTTGGTTTATTAGAGGGGATTTTGTATTATTAATTAGAGGGTTAAAGGGAGAAGTTGAGATAAGGGGAATTCTGGTCATTAGATTTAAAATATTTGGAAATTAGTTGAAAATAAGGATTTTATATGTTTAATATTTAAAAATTAGACCTAAAAGAAAAACAAATACTATGAATATGTTTGATTTATTGATTAACCCAGGTAACATATATAATGGTTTTGATTTATTAAAGGGGATATTGTATTATTAAGTAGATGATTTAGTATGGTGGGAAATAGATAACTTTTAGGAAATAGAACAAGATTATATTCAAATAGATAAAATGTGTATTTTGGATATTAGATTCTGTTATGAATTGAGATAAGGGAAATCTTGGTTACCTAAAGCCTGAAAATTATAAATATCAAAGGTTAAATTGGAATATTGATGGGAAACTAAAAATTGGGAAAAAATTAATAACAGATATGGATTGTTTATGAAAATTGAATGTAAAAATAATTTACGTATAAGCTAAAAATTTATTGATAAATGTAATAATGATGTTTTTACTGAGTTGATATTATAACTGTATTAGCTTAAATATGAGATAGTAAATGTTAAGGGAAAAAAGAGAGGAAATATTTCATGTTGTAACTTGAGATTTGTACTAAAGATTTTGTTATCAAACTATTGACTAACCCAGCCACCACATTGCTTTGTAAATACTTAAATGTAAAATTGGAAAATTAATAAAATATTATAAAAAATAAGTCCGCAATATGCAGGTGTGCATGCATATAACACAGTGCCCAAATTGTGTTTCTTTTTAATTCTACCTGGGGTTCTCTTCTGGCTTGCTTTCATTGTGCTTTCAGTTATGGAGGTGCCTAAATTTACCCCGCCTGGCTCAAGGTGAGTTTTTATTAAAAAAAAAAAAACCCAAAACAAAATCTAGCCTTGAGCAGCTATCCTCACAGATTCACTTACAGGGCTTGACAACATAATGTACTACCATTAGCTCTATTAGCATAGAAAAGGGTTAGTGAGCCATCACGGGCTGATGGAACTGAAGCAAAATCCTTAATTAAACTAAAGTTCCTTTAAACACGGTAATTATCTGAAAGGCAACACCTGTAATAGTATGTGGGAATGACTTTGGGGGACAGGAAGAAGAGCCGCAGACTAGCAATGGTCAGATAAGAGGCAGTTTAGCCCACAAAAGGAATAGGGGTGTAGCACACATCTCAGAAGAGATCTTCCCTAGACTCATAAGATCAACGTCAGCCTAGTGAGATAGTCCAAGAAGCACAGTCAGGATTATTAGCTCTTTATTGTAAAGTTACATTTCTATCTATCTGTCTGTCTATCTGTCTGTCTGTCTGTCCATCCATCCATCCATCCATCCATCCATCCATCCATCCATCTGACTTGTATGTCAACCATCCCCTCCAAAGACAACTCTAGGCTGCTTACATTAAAAGACAGTAAAAACATTAAACCAATAATTTACAATTAAAAGATGGGGACGAAGAGAGCAAGATGCACATGAGGAAAGGTGGGGTCTTCTCTTGATCTGATAGTCACCTTCAGAGTGATTTACCCCTGCTAGGGTCCCAAGCCAACTGGCAGAGCCAGGTCTTTATGCCTTTATGGAAGGTCAGAAGGATCTCATTTGGGAAGGAGGGGCACAATATTTCAAACGGCAGGAGTCATGGCTGAAAAAGCTCTTTTTCTGGACCCCGTCAGCCAAAATTCCTTGCCCCATGGTAGGGGCAAGCCAATCTAATTGGGATGAGACACTTTCTCAGATAGTCTGGACCCAGGTGATAAACAACACCTTGAATTATGCCCAGAAGCATCCAGTGCAGTTTGCAAAACAGTGGTGTAACATGATCCAGCCTGGGGGCCCCAAGAACTGCCCATGCCACCTCATTCTGCACCAGTTGTAGCAGTAGGAGATGACCAGGCAGAGCCTGAGGGCTGGGTCAAACACATTATCTGTTTGGAATCCCTACATCCCTGGAAGAGATCTAAATTCCACCCCTCCCTTTGAAGGTGCCAATTTACCTTGACCGTTAGTATCTCAGATCCTTGTGTTATAGATTGCATGGAATAAACTCAACAGTGCTTTTGAACCCTTGGCTTATGGTTTCCTGCCCCTGACAGTAGCTTCCAAATAGCACATTACATTAACAGAACCTTGGAATCTCATGAATGGAATCTCAGGATTTTACAGATCCTGTAAAATCATCCTGGCAATTACAAACAAATGCAGAACAAGATTCTTTTCACCATGCTAACATTCCTCTCCAAATGCTCTCGAAAAGAAAACACGTTTCTTGCAAGGCCATTTGAAAATCAAAGCGAGTGCATATTTATAACTCCTGAAAGTTGTTTAAAACAATGATCTGAAAACCGGTATTGAAACCCACTTCACACAAAAGTCATATTCTCTGAAATCAAGGAAAAGTGAGGGGAGGAGATCAAAGTTTTCCAGGCTGCCTGGCTTTGCATATAATCGTTTTTTTATCAGCTCTGAGCTGTATTAAAAAGAGGCAAGGCTGCCGACAAAGAAAATATTAAATGAAGTGATGCATAATACTCCTTTGCCGTAATTATAAGGATGGGGCTAAGGAACAATAATTGCAGGATAAATTATCATCAAGAGATATTTCCAAACATATACCAAAACAGCGTGTCATTATCAAACAATTATTTCAAGGTTCATCTGCATATTAAAGGGAGAAATGGAATACTCCCTCTCTTTTATTTTCTTCTTCTGCCACAACTGAGGGTGGTAGAAATGTTCAAAATAGTTTACGAGAATTAAATCTATAACACCCCAATAATAGCTAAGGGCAGGATTGATGCTTTGAGCTTCTGGCCTAGAGTGATGTGTTAATATCCAAAGATAGGCAGGCTGATCAGGTCTCCAAAGATTTTTGTTGTGCCTTTCAGCCAGTAAATGAGCGTACAATAGACAGAAAATGAGGATTGAGTAGCCTTCATAGAGAATAATAGAGGAAACAATTTTCTGAAGGCCAGACACTCCACCCTTTTCATGGTAAAATTCAGGAAGACCCTGAGGTCCTATAGGAGGGAACCAAAACTGATCCTCAGAGGATCTCTAAAATGTGCCTCTGATCTTTTTTTAAAAAAAGATGCTATGTATTGAATGTTAAGATCACCTCAGATCCAATTTACAAATGTATATTGAGTTGCTCTAAGAATTGTTTTGATAAGGTCCATCAATGCTTCAAACAAACAAACAAACAATTGAATCAATCGATTGGAATGCACCTTATTCAATACCGTGAACCAATCTGAAGATTGGATCTGAAAAAGGAATTGAGCGAATCGCCCCTAGCTGGCTTCCTTGGGTGAAATCTTCACACAGCACTAGATGTTGAATTAACTGAATGTAGTTTTCATTAAATTAAATCAAATCAACTTTAATTTTTGTCCTGGCCCCATCCATTTTGAGGAGTGTTATTGTTTCATCAAAAGATGTGTGGATCTCAATCTAGGGAGGAAAAAGTGATGCTTTCTTGCCTTAGAAATATATTTTCTGAATATACTGGTAGAAAATTGACAAAGATATAACAAAAGGCCAAGCTGGAGCCTGAATCCTCTTAAAAAGATGATTAAAGTCATAAATGTTAGCACATGCACATGCATATAATTAAATAGACCATGCAAGGTTATTGCATAAATTGGTTACACCCATGTAACTTGCATAGCATGCTTACCTTGGTTAATTAAACCATAGTTTGTTAAAATAATCCAGTTTTCTAGGTTTGCATGACATATTGAAGCACAGGAATTGCTTTCACGCAAGAACCAGTGATCTGATCAGAAATAAAGATTCCGCACAAAATGCGATGTCATCTTTCTCTCCAATACGGTACTTATATCTTTTTTTTCCTGCTCTTACATTTTGACTGACTTATTCATGTACCTTTAGAGGAGTGTCATTATCTCACAGAACACAGGCCATAATTGGACATTTTCCTGACAGGCTAAGCTACATTTCTAAAAATTTGCAAGTGCATCGTTGAAACCCCGAAGCAATTTCCAACTCTAGAAAATATAACTCCAATTCATTTCCCCCCTCAAAGAATACTTAATATGGATCCTTCAGTAGTCACAAATAGAACAGGGCCAACAATAACATTTGTCTCTTACAAACACACACACACACACATTCATGCACACACACACACACACATACACACTATACTGACACAGAATCAGGTCAATGTTCTGATCTACTAAAACAAACACCTAGGAGTAATAAAATAGTACCTTGAAAGGATTAATATTGGAAATCAGTAAGATTTCCTGTCAGAGGCTGAATGGAATCTCAAAATTGCAGACTCTTTTAGTAGATTTTCTGCACAGATATGTATGGATGGGTGTGAATTCAGTGGGTAGGACCAACCCAACTACTGGATTCAAATTCATTTCTTCAGGTAGTAGACTTGCTGGATGACCCACTGGAGCCAGGGCCCTTCATTTTGACAAGGGAAGGTTCCATAATGAGATCTGTGATAGTAAAGGACTAAGAGGCATACATATAAGTGGTTATAATAAATAAAATAATAAATAAAGTGATTATATTGCTTTGATAGAACCACATCTGGGATACTGAGTCTAGTTTGGGTTGTCATGATATTAATAAAAAAAAGAAGATGCTGAGACTCTAGAAAAGTGCAGAGAAGAGCAACAAAGATGATTAGGGAACTGGAGGCTAAACATATGAAGAACAGTTGCAGAAATGGGGTAGGTCTACTCTAATGAAAAGAAGGACTAGGGATGACATGATAGCAGTCTTCCAATATCTAACATCACAAAGAAGATGTCCCAAAGATGCTTTTTCACGAGGCAACTTGTTTTTTCTTTGAAGATGTTCAGCTTCTCATCCAAGAATCTTCTTCAGCTCTCTTCTTGGATGAGAAGTGGAACGTCTTCAAAGAAAAAACAAGAAAGTCCGGTTGCCTCGTGAAAAAGCATCTTTGGGACAACTATGACCTGGATGACTGAGAATCTCCATAGACAAGAGAGAGTCAACCTATTCTCCAAAGCACCTGAAAACAGGACAAGAAGCAATGGATTGAAGCTAATCAAGGAGA